CGGAACTCACCAAGGCCAACTGGCCTGGGTTTGAAAAAGCCTGGGTTAAAACAGGTCTCACTGAACATAGCGGACAATGAGGGCTACTGAGACCTCAAGAACAATGGCAATGGGTTTTTGAATCTACTGCACGTATTGGCTTTGTGGGAGCCCAGGCAGTTTGGATGCTCACCTTACTAGACCTGGATGGAGGAGGGTGGTCCTTGGACTTCCCACAGGGCAGAGAACCCTGATTGCTCTTTGGGCTGACAAGTGAGGGGGACTTAATTGGGGGAGGGGGTGGGAAAGGGGAGGCGGTGGTGGGGAAGAGACAGAAATCTTTAATAAATTAAAAAAAAAAGAACCTATAGCAAGGCAGAACTTAGGTAGGCAGGGAAAGCTAGGCCGAAAGCTGAGAAAAAGAAGGTGGAGTCAGAGAGAAGCAATGGAGCCATCAGAGTCAGACATGACAAAACTGGTAAGCCACTGACTGACATGTGTCAATATACAGATTAATGGAAATGGGTTTAATTAAGATGGAAGATGCCATGCCCACAGTGACAACACCTGTGTGACAGAATGTTTCAGTGGTGGAGGTCGATGTCAGGTGAGGGGTCTGAGCTTCCTGGAGCTGTGCCCCCGGCGGTCCCCTGGCAGTCGGCTACAGTCATGAGCTTGACCAGCCGCAACCTTTGCAATCTTTTCAATCACAACGTTCCTGACCGTGCTGGCGCCTTTGACGCCTGTTTCTTTTCCCTTCTCTTCTATCTATCGTGACAATCATAGGCTTATCGTGCCAAAGAGGTTATGGACTTTCTCAACAGGAAAATGTCCCCAATGATTCCCTGAGTTCAAAGGAACTCGTGCGTTAGTCTCCACCATTAATTTAGGCCACAAATCAGGTGATGCAGGATCAGCCAAAAAGTTTAGGGGAATTTATGGATACTTTAGAACAAAAGGAGTTAATACTGGAGGTTCAGAACACAGACCCTGACAAAGTGAACATAGAGATGCTTAAGAAAGAAAATATTAGATAACATGAAACCAGCTTTACAATAGTGGTCCAAGCCTTGGTGCACCAACCTCAAGGAAGCTTATTGGAATTATTTAAAGGGTAAATGAGATCTTGGCCCCTGAGAATGTTTGCAGTAGTTTTATGGTATGAAACAGTTTTTAAAGAAGAAGATTGCTATGTCCTTTGCCGCAACCGCAAGAAAATTCTAAGTATTGAAATAGCCTGCGTATATGTGATCTTTTTCTATCGCTGAAAGGGAAGTGTGCCAACTTCCTTATTTGATTGCATTTAGTTTCTGTTCTGTAATAATATAAATACTATGCTTTGATCTGAGTAAAGTGCAGCAGATTCTAACCTCAACCTGAGTTGTGTCTGTCTATCATTTGCCGAATCCTAGATTCTCCTTAGCCTTCACCCTTGTTCTCCCTCGGTTCTCGAGCTCCATGAGAGACGACAGTCCGTGGCACACTAACTAGTGGTTAGCTCCACCCTCTGATGCCAAGCAAGCTTTATTTGTCAGACTACAAATAAAACCAATCTCACTACACTGAGGCCAGCTTGGGAGTCACAATTCCACCACATTGGAGACAGCACCCTATCTGTTCATGGTTGTACTCAGAAATGGCTAACTTAAGCATGGAACATAAGAAACTATTAGAGATTAATCTGTCAATGAGATTTTTATAGCTATTCACTTAGTGATAGGCAGCTTAGTGAGGTGCTTTATAACACAGTTTGGGAGTCAAAAGTGCTTTCATCAAGATCCCTTAGATGTTATAACTTGATGGCTGATAAAGTCTTCCTCTGTCTTCATTTCTATGAATTCACAGGACAATGTATGTTATGACATTAAGATATGTGATCCATTAAAAGACAACAGTATTGAACTGGGACACCTGTATGAAAAAAAGGCCAACCAATCAACTGCACTGAGCCTAAGAACCAGGTGCTGGGTGTCAGGAGCTTGAAAGATATAATGTCCCCTCACTTCCTGCAACTCTAAGAGAATATACAATTCCGTTGTTAGTCTGTAATTTTCAGAAATGAGACTATAAAGGTTATATATATCCTTCCTCCTCACCTATGCATTTCCAAGCCACACACAACCTGAAAATTATTCCACATCTCACAGAAATGTTTTTGGGTGCTTTGCTTCTTTCTTTCTTTGCTTCCTTTTCAGTTGTGTCTGGTTCTATCATGGATCCCCAGAGTATCCACCCTCTGCTCTGGTTCTTGTAGGACCCTCACCCCTTATTCTCAAAGGGGCAAGAAGAAACTTCCTAGCAGAATGTTTTCCCAGGAAGATAGTGGCCTTCCCCTCTTCCACCCAGGAGATTCCAAGCACAAGGTCACTTAGCTCAGCCGAGCCAACCACTTGGTACAGGCTGATAAAGATGGCCTTACTCTAAGAACAAGGAAAAAGCTGACTTAACAGAATGGGAGGGAGAAAAAGTCCTTGTACCCGTACCAAAGCATCTTCAAAGATTCTCTTTGTAGTTATGCCTTTAAAAGCTCACCCCACAGAGGAGATACAGCTCCTCTCTACCTTGTTGTAACGGGGATGGAGATGAGTTCCAAATATGATTAAACCTTGCTTATTACAGTCTGGGCCTCTCTGATGGTCTCTCTCTGGGGATTGTAATCTGGGCACAACAGTTCCTAGGCATCCAGATGTCAGGCTTGGGCTCCCTTTTATGGCATTTTTTTAAACATGGGTTTAACAAATGGGTTCAAGATCTCTGAGCCAAATATTGAAGGTTCTGCTTAGGAAGTCCTGACAAACCCTCCCCCAAACACAGCTCACTGAATGTTTTACTCCACTGATGATTCGTTTCTGTGGTCAAACGGTTTCTGTTTCTCATAACTTCACCCACCGCAAAAAGTTACAGTGCATTTCAACATTTGCTCACTTGGGAAAATCCAGAAAGCCTCACAAGATTGCAGGAGGATAACACGGACAAGAGGCAGAGCCCTTCCACCAACACCAAGCAGCAAGAGCAGGTAAGAAGGGGCACTTGATATTGCTAGGTCTTGGGATTTCTGCCCTGGAACATGGGATCATCAGCCTGGGCAGGAATGAGATAACATTTTTTTTTTTTAGAACTAGTATGCCTAGAAAGTCTGTTCCTGGGTATGGCTGTGGCACAGCAGCAGATGATCCTGGGTGGATTATCAGGGCAGCCACTAAACTTATTTTAAATTAGGGACCAGAAGACATGTGGCTGAAACAGGGCAGGGTATGTATTGGGATTGTCTTTCTCAGTGTTCACCTTCTCTGCTGACAGGGACACAGTTAAATACCTATGGTCAGTGATGGAGCAGAGCTGCTCCTGAAAGGGCTGCCTGTGGCTGATTTTCATGAGGGGAAACAGAATAAGATGCAGGATGAATAGCCACTGCTTTGGAGAAGGATAAAGGGAGGAAATGCTATGTTGGTGTGAGAACACAAAGGGCATAAGAGATACGGTCTGTTCTAGAGCTTACTATGAGTGATTGATGATCCCGTAACACAAATCTAGCTTAACACACACACACACACACACACACACACATACACACACACACACACAATGTTTCAACTTGACAGATTTCTTGAAGTTTCTGTAGAAACAGAATAAAAAAAAGTCATAGATCAAGGTACTTTTAAAATGTAATCGTAACAACATGGGCAGGCAGATTATGGCAATATGGGGGAGGTTCATATAGGCCTTTTGATGCAAGAAATGGCTATGGAGGCAGCTAAAGATAACCCAAGAAAATCTGGCTCCAGACATTATAATATTCCAGCTCTCTAAAAACACACACCTATTTCAGTATCTACAGTAGATGCCACTAGCCCCAAAAGCCACAAATTCTAATTGTCATCTATCTTTGTAGGGTTATTGACCCAGTTGTGACTGTTTTCTGGGAACCTCAGGTCACAGCTGAAACCCAAAGTGAAAGATGAAGGATAGGCGATTGCCATCACACATCTGATCTTGGATGCCAAGTGAATTTCCTCCTTGATTCAGAAGATTGGTTCATTCCTCTTGTCCTTGTACTTCTTAACCCTCCCTGCAGGATCAGCCAGCTCCTAGCCTCTGATTCCCAGTGTTTTTCTTCCTTCCCTTTCCATTTCTCCTTTCTTTACCAAATTAAGAACAAAACAGAAAACCTAAGGAGAATGGCAGAAAGTTATTATTTGAACTACCAGCTCCGTGAGTTCTTGCTCTTTATACCACTGTTGCTTTCTGCCATATCCAGCATTTGCATAGTTGGGTTTAGTCTCATTTGCTGTGAGTCTAATCCCTGCTTTTATTCATTACTCATTCATAGCTAATAAAACTTTCATTTCAAGGCACAGTTCACACTCTTTGGAAGAGTCACTATCACATATTTTCATAAATTTTGCAAAAACCACATTATGTTGGTTCTGTTGCTGAAATGACAATGTTATTAAATCTGTGCATAGACACTCATGGCCATGACATGAGAATAACTACTAGGTTAGATAGAGTGAATACTGATGTGGGATTCCCCTCTGTATGCTGTGAATACCATTGGTTAATAAAGAAACTGTCTTGGCCTGTGATAGGGCAAAAAAATAGAGCTAGGCAGAGGAAACTAAACTGAATTCTGGGAGAAAGAAGGTTGAGTTAGAGAGAAGCCATGTAGCCCTGCTGTAGACAGACACTGGAACTTTAGCAGGTAAGCCTCAGCCAAGTGGTGATGCACAGATTAATAGAAATGGGTTAAATTAATATATAAGTGTTAGCCAATAAGAATATATAGCTAATTGGCCAAACAGTGATTTAATTAATACAGTTTCTGTGTCATTATTTTGGGTCAGAACTGCTGGGCAGCCGGGAAACAAACAAGGGGCCTCTTTCCAAGAGAATACGTTTCATAATCTCTAGAAATTCTGGGCAAGACATGGTATAACTACTAATACATAGAATTAATACCTTTTATAATATGTAGGAACTATTGTATAGGCATGCATTGAACAATGAAGCATTAATACCATGGGTATAGATTCATTATAATGGTGAACTAATCAATAAATGAATATTTGATTGATCATATAAGCTGCAATATAAAAAACAATTTCTTTAAATCTGATTTAATTTTCTACTAATGTTTAGTAGAAAATCTTTAATTAGGAAATTTTTCATTGAAAAATAAACAGAATATTTGCATTGTGAGCAGTAGAATTTGTCACTGTCACCTTATAAATGAAATTCTTCAATAATATCTTAAACTTCTTAGGTTATACAGGTTCTCCACCTATGTCTCTGATGCACACAACACTGTTGCCATTTTTGAGAGTTTCATAACTCTACCTTCAAAGAGAAAGAAAAAAATTCTAGTTAATCTCACCTCCTACTCTCTAGGCAGGGAACAAGACTGCACAATGGCGTCAGAAGACCACATGCCAGGCCCTGTGTGCCTCATTGAGAATGTGAAAGGGCAACTGGTAGCCAACCAGGAGGCTCTGCAGATCCTGTCTGCCATCGAGCAGCCAGTGGTAGTGGTGGCCATTGTGGGTTTCTACCGCACAGGCAAATCCTACCTGATGAACAAGCTGGCTGGGAAGAACACAGGTGAGTGCCTCAAACGCAACTGTGCTGTATCCATGTCCACTCATATTGTCTGCTTCCTGCAGGAGAATGTAAAGAATTTAATCCTCCAGTCACAGTTGAATGCTGGTATCTTTTTTGTTGTCTATGTCTGTTTGCTTTTGTTTTTGAGACAACATTCTGCTATATAGCACAAGCAGGCCTTTAGCTCAGCATATAGTCCAAGCTAAGCCTGAACTCATGATCTTCTTGCCTTGACCTCCTGGGAGCTGATTACTGGACTGCAGCTTACCTCTAACTCCTAGTTTCCCTTCTAAAAGTACAACTAGCTCATTTCCTAGAAGCAAAAAGGTAGTAATAAAGATAATTTAATTTATGAGTTAATAAACTTAAAGTATTGCTTAAATGGTAGTGTAATAACAGCAAGTTTCTACTGATCTTTAAGGTTAAAAGCTATCTTAAAAATGCAAGATTCTGTCTCACCTGGTCCCACAGCCATGCAGTCCCAAAGAAATACACAATGGCTTGTAGTAATTACAAACTGTTTGGCCTATTAGTTCAGGCTTATTATTAACTAGCTCTTACAACTTAAATTAACCCGTAATTCTTATCTAAGTTTAACCATGCAGCTTGGTACCTTTTTCCATTAAGGCAGTCTTATCTTGCTTCCTCTCCATCTGGCTGGTGACTGTTTCTCTGGCTTTCATCTTCCCAGAGTTCTCCTAGTCTGGTCACCCCACCTATGCTTCCTGCCTGGCTACTGGCCAATTAGCATTTTATTAAAGTAATATGAGTGAAAATCTTTAAAGTGTACAAGGGTGCAAGAAGATTGTCCTGCAACATTCCCCCCTTTTTTTCTTTTCCAAACAAGAACCATCAATCTAATCTCCTTTCTTTAGCTTTTTTTTTCTAATAATTTTCTGTAACAACTTGTAACCAACACTCTAAACAATGACAAACATCCATAATCCATTTTGGGGCATGTGGGTGTCATTTTCTAGACTACTTCCTCCTAATTGGAGTCACTGATAATCTTTGGGGGAATCCAAAGAAAATTTAAGATTATTCCCAAATCTTTACTGAAGTATTGAGTGCAGCTGGATCACTTCAACCAGTCACCCTGAAGCTGTTCTGGATGTAGAAATCAGAGCAAACTGCAACAGATGTGCTCTGAATAAATGATCACCTGGGCCATCTGCTACTCTTGGAGATTCTTCAGTGGGTCTTCCTAAATCAAACCTTATTTTCCTTAACTCAGAATGAATCCACAGGCTCTAATTTCCTGTGGAAACTAAAGCAAACCTCTTCTCCAAAGTGACATATCTTTTGACCTAAATTTTGAATCATTTTCAAAATATATAGGTTGGATTAATGCAGTAGCATTTATAAGCAAATACCTTTCAGCAGATGTTGCCCCTTCCTCATCAACCAAACAATTCAAAGAAAACACAATAACATACAGTATCCTGACTTTCTATGTATTTTCCACCATTGTGTGACTGTTTTTACTATATTTATTTTATTTTTACTTTTTTTTTTTGAGACAGGGTTTCTCTGTATATCTTTGGATGTATTGGAACTCCCTCTATTGACCAGACTGGCCTTGATCTCATAGAGATCTTTCTGCCACTAACTCCCCAGTGCTAGATTAAAAGTGTGTGCCACCACACCCAACTATCTATTTATTTTTTAAAAGACTTTCTATATCCTTTTTTGTTTCTCTCCCAAACCTACATATA